GGGTCAGAGGGGATTTGGGTGGGGGGTCGGGGGGGTCAGAGGGGATTTCTGTGGGGTCCGGGGGGTCAGTGAGTGGCCTGGAGGGGTCAGGGGCACCCACAGGTCCTGCTGGGGGGCGGCGGCAGCGCGGTGACGCCGCGGTGTCCCCAGGACGAGCCGGGCGCCCAGGCCATGCTGAGCCGGCAGCTGGGGCTGGAGCAGGAGCTGCGCGACTACGGCGGCACCGTGGAGCTGCTGGCCCAGCAGGGCCGGGCCATGGCGGCCAGCGGCCACCCCGACGGGTGGGGACACCCTGGGGACACCCTGGGGACACCCCCTGCCGCTGCGGGCACGGCCACGGTGGTCCCTGACAGCCCTGTCCCCGTGCTCGCTGTCCCCTGAGGTCCCTGCTGTGTCACCATGTCCATTGTCACTGATGGCCGTGTGTCCCCTGGTGACACCGCTGTGCCCCTGGGTGACACCGCTGTGCCCTGCCCTGGGTGACACCACTGCCCCCCTGGTGACACCGCTGTCCCTGCCCCTGGTGACACCACTGCCCCCGTGTCCTCTGGTGACACCGCTATCCCTGCGTCCCCTGTTCCCGATGTTCATGTGTCCCCTGACCCCACTGTCCCCTGTCCCTTGAGTGACACCTCTGTCCCCTTGTCCCCCAGGTGACACCGCTGTCCCCTCTCCTCTGATGACACCACTGTCCCCCTGGTGACACCGCTGTTCCTGGTGACATCACTTCCCCCTGGGTGACACTGCTGTCCCCTGGTGACACCGCTGTCCCCTGTCCCCTGGTGACACCGCTGTCCCTGGTGACACGGCTGTCCCTGTCCCTGGTGACACAGCTGTCCCTGGTGACATGGCTGTCCCCTTGGGTGACACCGCTGTCCCCTTGGGTGACACCGCTGTCCCCTGTCCCCTAGTGACACCACTGCCCCCGTGTCCTCTGGTGACACCGCTATCCCTGCGTCCCCTGTTCCCGATGTTCATGTGTCCCCTGACCCCACTGTCCCCTGTCCCTTGAGTGACACCTCTGTCCCCTTGTCCCCCAGGTGACACCGCTGTCCCCTCTCCCCTGGTGACATCACTGCCCCCTGGGTGACACCGCTGTCCCCTGTCCCTGGGTGACCCTGCTGTCCCCTGATCACACTGCTGTCTCCTGAGTGACACAGCTGTCCCTGGTGACATGGCTGTCCCCTTGGGTGACACCGCTGTCCCCTGTCCCCTAGTGACACCACTGTCCCCTGTCCCTGGTGACACGGCTCTCCCTGGTGACACGCCTGTCCCTGGTGACACCACTGTCCCCTGTCCCCTAGTGACACAGCTGTCCCTGGTGACACGGCTGTCCCTGTCCCTGGTGACACGGTTGTCCCTGGTGACACAGCTGTCCCTGTCCCCGTGCAGCGAGCGGCTCCGTGCCCGCGCCGCGCAGGTGCAGCGTCTCTACGCGGGGCTGTGTCACCTGGCCGGGGACCGCAGGGCCACCCTGCAGGGCCACCACCGGCTGTGCCAGCTGCGCCGCGACCTCGATGACCTGGAGCAGTGGATCTCGGAGCGAGAGGTGGTGGCGGCGTCCCGGGAGCTGGGACAGGACTTCGAGCACGTCACGGTGAGGGGACACTGAGGGGACATGGAGGGGACACGGGTGTTGTGGCACTGAGGGGACACGGGGGGACACGGGGGTTGTGACACTGAGGAGTCCCTCAGTGCCAGGTGGTCCCCAGGTCATCTTGGCACTGGGGGGGGTCCTTGCGTCCCCCTGTCACCAGTGGTGTCCCTGTCACTGGGGGTGGCCCCTGACTCTGGCGTGTCATGTGTCCCCCTGTGAGTGAGTGTGTCCCTGTCACTGGGGGTGTCCCATGTCCCCTGTCCCCCGGGATGTCCCCTATCCCCAGGAGTTGCCCTCCTCACCCTGGTGTGTCCCATGTCCCCCTGTCACCAGGAGTGTCCCCTGTCCCCCCTGTCCCCTTGACCCCCTGTCCTGTGTCCCTGTTTCCCTTGTCCCCCTGTCCCATCTTCCCTGACCCCTGTCCTGTGTCCCCCTGTCCTGTGTCCCCTGTTCGGGGACACACAGGCGCTGTCCCCTGTCCCTGGACCCCTGTCCCCTGACCCTTGTCCTCCTGACCCCCCTGATCCCTGTCCCCTGTCCCTTGTCCCCTGACCGCTGTCTCCTGTCCCCTGACCCCTGTCCCGTGTCCCCTGTCCCTTGACCACTGTCCCCTGTCTCTTGTCCCCCGTCTCTTGTCCCCTGTCTCTTGTCCCCTGACCCCTGTCCCATGCCCCCCATCCCATTTCCCTCGTGTCCCCTGACCCCTGTCCCCTGTCCCCTGTCCCTTGTCCCCTGACCCCTGTCCCATGCCCCCCATCTCATTTCCCTTGTGTCCCCTGCATGGGAGGGGACAGGGGATGGGATGGAGATGGATGGGGACAGGGACAGGGGAGGGGACAGGTGAGAGGATGGGACAGGTGAGGGCATGGGGACAAAGGAGGGGACAGGGGAGGGGTTGGGTGAGGACGCAAGGACAGGTGAGTGATCATGGAGACACAGGTGGAACAGGGACAGGTGAGGGGATGGGAACAGGTGAGAGGCAGGGAGGGACAGGTAAGGGGCAGGTGAGGGACATGCTGTGGTGCAGGAGGTGGCTGTGAGTGGGATATGTCACCTGTACCACGTCACACCTGTCACACCTGTCCCACCTGTCCCACCTGTCCCATGTCCCACCTGTCCCCAGGTGACAGCTGTCCAGGAGGCCGCGGGCCGTCTATCACACCTGTCCCACCTGTCCCACTGCGGGGACACCGTGGGGACAGGGGGACTCAGGGACACCATGGGGACACCATGGGGACAGGGGGACACCATGGGGATACTGGGGACACCGTGGGGACAGGGGGACATGGGGACACCACGGAGACACCATGGGGACAGAGGGGACACCACAGGGATGGGGCAGACATGGGGACACTGTGAGGACATGGGGACACTGCGGGGACAGGGCAGACACGGGGACACTGTGGGGACAGGGAGGATATGGGGACACTACGGGGTCAGGGGACACCATGGGGACACTACGGGGACAGGGGGGACATGGGGACACTACGGGGACATGGAGACATTGCAGGGACAGGGGACACCACAGGGACACCACGGAGACACCGCAGGGACACAGGGACACTGCGGGGACAGGGAGGACACAGGGACACCATGGGGATGGGGGTGACAGCACTGGGACATGGGGACACCGTGGAGATGGGGGGACACACAGGGACATGGGGACACCCTGGGCCATGGGGACACACAGGAATGTGTGAGCAGCCCTGGGGACATGGGGACACACAGACACATTGGGGACAGCCCTGGGGACATCTCAAGGACACCCCAGGGACACCGCAGTGACCCCAGCGCGGGGCTGTGACCGCGGCCACCGTGGTGGCGCAGCCCTGCCCGCTGCGCCCAGGCGGAGCCGGGGTGACCCCGAGGTGACCCCGAGGTGACCCCGCGGTGTCCCTGTCCCCCGGCAGGGATGTCACCGCGGCCGAGCTGCTGATCCAGCAGCACCAGGGGCTGCGGGCGGAGCTGGAGGCTCGCGAGGGCTCCTTCGGGGCCTGCGTGGCCGCGGCCACCGCGCTGCTGCAGCGCGGCCACCACGAGGCCGACAAGGTGGGACGCGCCTGTCACCGTGTCACCCTGCCCCTGTGTCACCCTGCCACCGCGTCCTCATCCCCGCCTCTCCGTGCTTGTCACTGTCCCCAAGTCCCCAGCCCCATGTCCTTCCTTCAACTCCTCGTCTCCACGGTGCTGTCCCCATCCAGTGTCCCTGTCACTGTCCCTGTGTCCCAACCTCATCCTTGTATCTCCATCCCCGTGTCCTTGTCCCCATCCCGTGTCCCCTCATGTCCCTGTGTCCTACCCCTGTATCTCCATCCCTGTCCCCTCATGTCCCTGTGTCCCAAGCCCACCCCTGTATCTCAGTCCCCGTGTCCTTGCCCCCATCCTGTCCCCGAGCTTGTTCCCTAATCCCTGTCCCTGTCCCCACCCCTGTCCCAATCTTTGTCCCCTCATCCCTGTCCCTGTCCCCACCCCTGTCCCTACCCCTGTCCTGATCTTTGTCCCCACCCTGTCCCTGTCCCCACCCCTGTCCCTGTCCCCACCCCTGTCCCTGTCCCCCCAGCTGTCCCAGGAGCTGGCCGAGCTCCAGGAGCGCCGCAGGGACATCGGGGAGCGCTGGCAGGACAAGCTGGAGTGGCTGCAGACTGGTGAGGACTGGGGGGACCCCACATGTCCCCCGTGTCCCCTCCGTGTCCCCTCATGTCCCCTGTGCCAGGCTCGGGTGCTGTCCCCACCCAGAAGATGAGAACTGAGGGGTCCCTGTGCCCGTGTCCCTCTCAGAGGGGGGCAGGGGTGGCACAGGGGTGTCCCTGTGTGCCTCTCAGTGCCCAGGGGTGGCACAGGGGTGGCTCAGGGGTGACTCAGGGGTGGCACAGGGGTGTCTCTGTGCCTGGTGTCCCCTCTCAGTGCCAAGGGGTGGCTCAGGGGTGTCCCTGTGCCCCCTGTCCCCTCCCAGTGCCCGGTGCTGTCTCAGGGTGGCTCCGGGGTGTCCCTGTGCCCCCTGTCCCCTCTCAGTGCCCAGTGATGTCTCAGGGTGGTCCCGGGGTGTCCCTGTCCCGGTGGCCCCGGTGACAGTGCCCGTGTCCCCAGTGCTGGAGGTGCTGGTGTTCGGGCGCGACGCGGCGGCGGCCGAGGCCTGGCTGGCCAGCAGGGAGCCCCTGGCCCGCGCCCCCGAGCTGGGCTCCAGCCTGGCCGAGGCCGAGACCCTCCTCAAACGGCACCAGAGCTTCCAGAAGGCCGCGGCCGCCTGGGAGGAGAGATTCGCTGCGCTGAGCCGCCTGACCACGGTGGGGACACGGGGACAGGGGGACAGGGGGGACAGGGGTGACACAGGGCCCAGGGACAGTGACGGATCCGCCCCGACGGCGCCGCGGGCCAGGTAAGCCCCCCGACCCCCCAAAGTGAGGGGGGGCACCCCCGGACCCCTCTGTGGGACCCCCACCCCTCAGCCCTGTCCCCCTCCCCAGGTCCCCAGAGGGGCGCAGGAGGGGGGGCCCGGCCCGGGGGGAGGGGCGGCCACGCTGCCCCCCCGCGCCCCTCCCCCACCCGAGACCCTCGAGGGGGGGCTGTGCCGGAAACAGGAGCTGGAGGCGCCCGGCAAGAGAGCCACCAACAGGTCAGAGGGGACACTGGGGACAC